TTATTGATTGGGAAGTGGGAGTTGCTTTGCAGGGGCTGAGACCTTGGGAGATGGGACATCATTCCCTGTTTATCTTTCAAGTCTGTTCTTAACCCTCACTTCCCAGAGAAGTGCCCTAGACCAAGTCACTAAATCATAGCTTTATCCTCATGCTCTCCCCCTTATTTAATCCTGCACTGTTCTTCCTAATTTAATGTCTGTTTTGCTGTTGGCCTATCAACCTGGGAAGAGAAGAACTAGCAATTTGCTCATCACTGTGTCTCTAGAGCCTGCACCATGTTGTTAAAATTGAAAATTGACTTACGGTTTCTCTTCTGAACCTCTGCTACCTGTCCCTTTCCCCAAATTACCATTTACCTTTGAAACTGCTGACTAAGGAGCAAGAGGCCAATGTCTTCTGTCTTCTCTGACCAGGCCCCAAATAAGAAGTGTATTGTCAGGGGCAGAGGCTACAACATGTGACGTTTGGCTGGAATGATGTAACCCCTGCCCTTTGGCATCCTCGTGTAATTCAAATGTCAGCTAGGGTTCAGTCATCTGTGGAGAATCAAGTGCAAATGGTTTAAACTCCCAGTTCCTGTATAATGAGACCCCTATCCAATTTCTCAATCTCAATGAGGATTCTCTTTTGTGTATGTGCAATACTGGGGTTTGAACTCGGGGCCTTGAGCTTGCTAAATAGATGCTATACCTCTTAAGACCTCCCCTAGCCGTTTTTGCTTTAGGATCTTTTTCAAATGAGGTCCATATTCTCTTTTACATTTTTTCTGATCATATTATTGTTTTACTGGGGGTACATTGTGATATTTACAGAAATTCTTATAGTATTTCATGTTGGAATTCACCCCCTCCATCATTCTCCTTTTTCCCTCCTTCCCCCTTTCCTGAAATAGTTTCAACAGGTCTCATTTTTCCATTTTCATACATGAACACCTGATATTTCCACCATATTCTCTCCCCTACACCCTTTCCTTATATCCCCCTCCCCTGGTACTGGCTCCAGATAGGACCTGTTTTCCATTTTTGAAAAAAAAAAGAAGACATTTTTGTTCATTTAAGATAGCTATACAGGGAGTTTCATTGTGACATTTCCATGTATATGTGTATTATAACCTGAATTGGTTCATCTCCTCTGTTTTTCTTCTTTCTGCCTCCGTCCCCTTCTTATGATGGTTTCAACAGGTTTAAAATTTCTATATTCATGCTTGTCTAGGAAGTACATCAAGTACATTCACCTTTTTAATGTCCTCCTTTTGTCCTCCTTCTCCCATTAGTGGCCTCCCCTTAGCATGACCTGTTTTGGCAGAGTGCTCAAGTGGTAGAACATTTGCCTGGCAAGCACAAGGCCCTGAGTTCAAACCCCAGCAATGCCAAAAAAGAAAAGAAATATAGGGATGCTCAACATTAAGGTCTCACATTTTTTTATGCCTAGGTTGGCCTGGACAGTGATCCTCCTCTTTGCTTTCCATGGAGCTGGGATGACAGATTTATATTGCCAGATCCAGGTCTCGAGAACTCTTTGCCCAGACTAGCCTTGAACCACAATCCTCCCAATCTCCACCTTCCTAGTAGCTGGGATTACAGGCATGAGCCACCACGCCTGGCTTCTATGGGGATTCTTGAAAGTCAAATGTTTCGATAGGTCATCTCAAATCTGGTTTCCTCCCTCCAGAATCTTTTTGCTGTCTTCATCCCTGGGCATAGCATATCTTATTAAAGACTCCATGTCTATGTGTACGACCTGGAGGATTATACAGAGAATATTTTAGAGGATTACACTATTACACATCATCAGTTTTTAAATCCCCTGTAACCTCATTCCCTGGATCGCCAACTCAAACTGGGGAATGTTTGCTGCTCTTCTGTCAGCTGCTGATTCAACTTCTTGGGTCCCTTCACCCCTTCAACCTCCTTTATCCACCCTGGCTCACCCCTCCCCTCCAAAAATATCCCTCATCTTTTCTTTTAAATTTAAAAGGCATTTCTTTTTTAATTCATTTTTGTGTTTTGAAGATTTTCCCAAGTTTATTGAGCTATAATTGAAGCACACTAAACTGCACATCCTTAAAAAATACAATTCTATCCATTTTAGCATATGCATACCCATGCATCCAGCAGCTCTCAACATTTCCATCACTTCCCCTTTACCATTTCTTTGCACCTTTTAGTCCATTTCCCCTCCATCCCATCCAAAGGCAACCACTGATACACTGCTTTTATGTAGACGTTAGTTTGTATTTTCTAGTGTTTATGTATGGATTTTGCAGAATGTTTCCTCTTTGGGCCTGGCTTCTTTCACTCAGTGTACTGACTTTGAGATTTTTAAATGTTGTTGTTTGTATTAATAGTTTACTTGTCTTTATTTCTGGACAATATTTCATTATATGGTTATTTCACAATTTTTTTTATTCATCTATTTACTGTATTCATATATTTTCTGTTTTTATAATGAAAAACACAAAGCTGGGTAGTTACAAAGAAGAGTTTTATTTAGCTCACCATTCTGGAGGCTGAAGGGTATGGTGCTGCCATTGGTTTACCTCTGGTAAGGCGTTATGGCAGATGACATTGCAATGACAGAAGGAAAAATCAAGAGACTCAAGCCAGAGCGAGAGGGAGAGCCAGGCTTTTTCTTTCTTGTAACAACTCTCTTGTGATAACTAACTCAGGGTGCTACAATAACTATCTTAATTCCTTCCAAAAGCAGCACCCCAATGAACTCCATTAAGCCCCACCTCTTTAAAGTTCCACTTCCCAATATCACCCTAGTCCATGTTCTAACACATGGATCCTTGAAACAAACTCAGACCATATCCAAACCATAGCATCTACTGATGGATTTGAGGTTTTTCATTTTTGATTGTAACAAATCACACTCTAAGAACATCCATGTAAAAGACTTTGGGTTTCATGTTTTAGTTTCTCTTTGGTAAACCTATAAATGGAATGGTTGGGTTGTGTGGTAGGTGTGCATTTAATGTTTTAAGAAATTTCCAGACTGTTTTGCAAGGTAATTGTACCAGCTTACACTCCTACCAGCAATGTATGAATGTTTCATTTCCTTTATAGTCTTATCAACATTTGATATGATCAGTCATTTTAAAGTGACATTTCAGGGTGTGTGTGTGTGTGTGTGTGTGTGTGTGTGAGTTTAATGCACTGCTATTTAGTTACCCTTGGCTTTGTTTCTGTTTCTTTTTTGTTCTTTCTTTTTGTTTTCATTTTCTTTTTCTTTTCTCTCTTGGCTTCATTTCTAACAAGGGAGAACATACGCTTAGGTTATGGAGAATAAAACCAGATTATTTCTGTTGTTCTCATGAAATTATTAATAGCATCCTCTCTTAATTTCCAAATGTCCTGGCTTGGAAGACAATGTGTATGGTTTCTCTACTTCTAGTCCAAGTGGCCATGCTGCAGATTGTGCCCTTGATGGGCACGTGGCCCATCAGGCTTTCTGCTCAATGAAGATCATTCTCTCCTCCACAAGGAGTTTTTCTGCTTTTCTTAAACAATTTTGTTTTTCACTGACCACAGCAAAAGTTCAGGGAGTGGAGTGATGTAGCCTAGTGCTTGGGTGGGAGGGTCTCTGGAGAGGGTGAGAACTGGATATTCTTGCCATCATAATCCAAACAGCTTGCCTGAAAATGAAGCCAACAGAGAAGAAGGTGGTGCCAGGGGTGGAGAGAGTCAGGCCATGCCAGATGATAGCCTTGGAGCTGGATGCAGCTATACTTGAGGTAAGATCCATTCCCCACCTTCTCCTCAGGGAACAAGGAAACTCCCCTCCCCACATTTTTTTTGTCTAAACTATTCAGACTTGGGCTTCTGTCACTTGTAATTATGAGGGTCTTGACTAATATCCTCAGCAGTGAATGTGCCTCAGAAAGGTAGTAGCAGTTTGCCAAGCCTGGTCTGCCACTTACTTCACATCTGAGGTACGTCTGCCTTCCCTGAGAATTATTGTTTTTGCTGACCGGGTCCCTGAAATTCAAGGCAGAAGCACATCTACAGGGAAGATTTATTCCTTCAGAGGACACTAACAGCTAAGGGTCAAAGTATTCACCGGTATCACCGCATGGTTTGTTCAATCGAATACTCCAGCAGGAGGTATCCACTCTAATGCACCAGACTCTTTAATTTTTAACTAAATTATCATTTCGCAAGGTGATCTAAAAACTGCCTGAGTTTGAGAAGCAGCCTGCATTTCCCAGTAGCATTTCCTTTCTTTCTAATGATTAGGTTTAATACTTGTAGGAACACATCCTTATTTACTCAGAGTGCTAAGTGTGGAGATGAACAGCCTATATGCGACCTATGTGAACACACAGAAGTGGGGTGGGAGCCCTTTTCTAGGAGCACAAGTCCCCAGGAGATGGAGGGCAATCTGGCTGAGCAGAGCAAAGGTAATACGCTATTGCAAGAAAAGAAGCTCAAAAGGGAGGATAGAAAAAAATTAGACGCCATTCATCTCGTCTGCACATTCTACAGAATTTAGCGAGGCCCGGGACCTGCAAGATGCTTGCCTCACGGGGACTGCCCCGGCCTTGGTCCCCAGGCTCCAAAGACGGACAAGATGAAGCCAGACAGCTCTCTCCTCGGCTAATTCTAAGCAACCTGTAACCCCGCATAACCAGCCTCTGGTCCCCGGCGGGAGCCCCGGTTCAACAACAGCCAGCCAGGGAGCAGCCGGGCAGCTACTGAGTTAGCTCCGCCCCAGGCGCTAAGCCCCGCCCCCGGCGTCTTCCCGAGGCCCGCCCCCACGCGGGCCCCGCCCAGAGCTCTCTGGTTCGCTCTCCACCCCCGCGCTCTGTAGGCCCCGCCTCTCGCACCCCAGGCCCCGCCCCCGCTCTCCTGCGTTCCGCTCCCGCCCCCCTAGCCCTCGCGCCCCGCCCCCACGTGCCCTCGGGAGTCCCGGGGAGGAGTTGGTGCGCGGGAGGAGGCGTGGCTGTGTCGGCGGAGGCGCGGGCGGCGCAGCCGGGACTTTGGCTTTGACACCCACGGCGAGCGGCAGTCGTGGCGCTGGTGCTGAGGTCTCGGCTCGCTCTGTCGGGTCCCGCGCCCGAGTTGGGTGCAGGACTTTTTGCCTGGATAAACGCAACGGCGGCGACGCCGCAAGTGCTGGTGCAGCGTTGGTGGCCGGATTTCGCCGCTGCTACAGCAGTCTTCGAGCAGCCCTGCAGGTCTTGCCTGTTCTGGGAGTCAGAGAGTTTCTCCCGCAGAAAAAACCGGGACGCGCGGAGCGAGGCGACGTGGGAGGCGTCCCGGGGCCGGCACCCGGGACTGACCCGCACCCGCGCGGGCGCCAGTGCTTGTGGCTGGGCTCAGACTTCCGAGCCGCAGGCGAATGAGGACCCTGTAGCAGAGCGGCCGAATGGTGGGCGCTGGGATCCGTGGAGGGGGTGGGTGCGGGTCCATAGCCCCTTCTCTGTGTATGCACCAGCAAGCACGGAGTTCCCAAGTTGCAGAATTGCGCGCGGAGTGTGTGTGTGTGAGTGTGAGTGTGAGTGTGTGTGTGTAGGGCCGGGAGGGGGTGGCGGAGGAGGGTTGTCCTCTTGTCTGCTGGATCCCAGGTGTGGTGGGTTTTCAAAGTGAAGAGGTGGGAGGCAGAGAGAAGCGTGAGGGTGATGGCGTTAGGTCTCTTCCCAAGGGCCTTTTTTGAGCCCCAGTGTGAATAAATGAACCAGATGTATCCTGAGGAAACGCCCCATGGGCCACTTTATTTACTGTGTTTTCAGGAGTTCACCTGCCCGCACTAGCCTGAATTCCTGGTTATAAACTCCAGCACCTACCTGGTCGGGAGTGCTAATGGCCGATTGGTTACATTAGTTTGTGTGTTGATTTCTAGGTGGCAAGTGAAAAGTCATTTTGGACACTCAGGCATGGAAGATTTGGTGTGCGTCTGCAGCAACTTCAGCTTGTAAATTCGGCACCTTCCACTCTGTGCCTGTAAAGTCTTCTGGGCTTCTTCCCTAGCCAGAGTTCTTCTGCGGTGGTGAGGCCTTCCTGGGCCCCTGATCTTGGTTGGCCATGGGGAGCACCCTGGGCTGCCATCGCTCTATCCCCAGGGATCCCTCGGACCTGTCCCATAGCCGCAAGTTCAGCGCAGCCTGCAATTTCAGCAACATCCTGGTGAATCAGGAGAGGCTCAACATTAACACTGCCACCGAGGAGGAGCTGATGACCCTGCCTGGGGTGACCCGGGCTGTGGCACGAAGCATCGTGGAGTACCGAGAATATATTGGTGGCTTCAAGAAGGTAGAGGACCTGGCACTGGTCAGCGGTGTGGGTGCCACCAAACTGGAACAGGTCAAGTTTGAGATCTGTGTGAGCAGCAAGGGCAGCTCCGCACAACATTCTCCCAGTTCCCTGCGAAGGGATCTGCTGGCAGAGCAGCAGCCCCATCACCTGGTTACCACTGTGCCCCTCACTCCACGAGTCAACATTAACACAGCCACCCCTGCTCAGCTCATGAGTGTGCGAGGCCTCACAGAGAAAATGGCCCTCAGCATCGTGGATTACCGCAGGGAGCATGGTCCCTTTCGCAGTGTTGAGGACTTGGTGAGGATGGATGGTATCAACGCTGCCTTCCTGGACAGAATAAGGCACCAGGTGTTTGCTGAGAGGTCCAGGCCCCCATCCACTCACACCAACGGGGGTCTGACCTTCACTGCCAAGCCTCACCCCAGTCCTACCTCACTGAGCCTGCAGAGTGAGGACCTGGACCTGCCACCAGGGGGACCCACGCAGATCATCTCCACTCGGCCCTCCGTGGAGGCCTTTGGTGGTATGAGAGATGGGCGGCCTGTGTTGAGGCTGGCCACCTGGAATTTGCAAGGCTGCTCTGTGGAGAAAGCTAACAACCCTGGGGTGCGAGAAGTGGTGTGTATGACGCTTCTGGAAAACAGGTGAGGGCAGGAACCCACCGAGGATGGTAGATGTGAAGGCAGCTCTGGTGTGGCCACATCTGGGGATGCAAATGAATGGGCTCTTTGGGGAATAGGGAGGGGACGAGAGCATTTAATGAGTGTTTGTGAGACTCTGGCCGATGCTGTCACCTGAGGCTGAACTCTTTCTGCTCCAGAAGCTCTCTGGGTAGCCCAAGGTCTATGTTTCGAACGCGGTATATCTAAGATAGCCCCCTAATTTGGGGGTGAGTGGAGGTTGTGTAGGTTGTAATGCTGTGGAGGTCACTTGACTTATAAGTCTTCATCTTATATTTAGGATTTACGCTGAATCAGGCACTCAGCCTGGGAACTGATGTACAGTTTTGTACTAGAAAGAGCTGAGTGGATTTTTTTTATTATTATTAATGGTAGGCAAAAATCACGTTTGTTCCTTCACACCTATTTATGTGCATAAAATCATCTAATAGACCGGGTATTTGCAAACACATACACTGTCTACATCTACCAGAACGCTGTGAATGAATCACTCTTTACTCTTTTCCCTAGTAGAACCTGAAGTTGGTTTTTAGTGTTCCATAGCCAAAAAAGGCCAAGCTGCTTTGTGTATGAATACTGACCAGATTTCCACATCTGAACCAAAGGAGGAGAAACTTGTGGGGTAGGCTGTTATCAGAAACTGTTTACATCATTCACAGCACTGCTCTCTGTAGGAACATCCGTTAACTCCCCATAAAACAAAACAATATATCGTGGCAGGAACTCCCGCTGTTAGTAAGATAGTGTGCAGTATAATGTCATCAGCTTTGGGAAGAAAAGATCCTCTGATCTTGATTTGGGGTTTTCTTTACCACCCACCAGAGGGGCAGTGCTTGTGGCTCTGTGCTGCATATTTTGCCTTGGATAGTTGGTGAGTTTGGCAGGATGGCAGTTTGGTGACATGAAGCGAGTTCTTGGTGGAAATCACAGTGCACTGTACAGATCATCAGGACAAATTAGTGAGGAGAAAAGCAGGTCACAATGTTTCCCTGGCATTGCCCCACTGGCATGCTCCCGTCACTGAGTAGAGAAGAACATGCACTGGATCCGAGACTTGGACCAGGGGAGCCCTTAGGTGCTATTCCCCTTTCTCACTCCTTTGCACAGTCATCTTGTGCATGGGAGAGCTGGACTCAGCAAGGTCTCACCCTCAGCAGCATGGGCAGACGGATGGGAAAGGCAGTGGGGGAGACCGCTGTGTAATTCCTATTAGGAGTTTTCTTCTTAAGGCTCATTGGGGTGAAGAGGGGGATGAATGGGGACCTAAAGTTGCCTGGTGAAATGATGGCCTGGTCAGCTCTTGCCCATTTACTTTGTTGGTGTTCTCTCAAGTGTGACCCCTGGATCAGTACCATCAGCTGATCCAGACACTCTGGGTTCCTGTGTTTAACACACCTTGCTCTCCAGAGCAGGTTCTTCTGATGCACACTCAGGTTGAAGAGCCCTTGTCTTAGGTATTGGGCGGGCTCCAAGCTTCATCCCTCTGGGCTTATCTTTAAAGCCCTCCCCCTTACTGGATTTTGGCTTGCAAGGCCAGTGATTTAGTGCAAAGCATCACTCTCTCTGATTGTTCTGATCATCTGTATAGTTGTTCAATCCCATAATTCCGTGTGACCAGGGCTTGAGGGGCTTCTTCAGCTTCTGGGACATACGAATGTGGAGGGTGGAAAATGGGACAGTGAAAGCCAGACATGGTGACACAGGCCTGTAAGTCCCTGTTACTCAGGATGCTCACCTCACTTTGCAGCATGCAGATGGGGTCACTAGGGACTCACTGGGGAGGGGCACTAACAACTCTTATCCAGGGTGGAGTTGTTAGGGTTTGTCCTGTTTTTCTTCTTAGGATTTCCTAGAGGGTTGATGGTTTGTGGAAGATATTTAACTGCTGTCTTCAGGCAAGAGTTCAGGAGAAGCTCACTCAGAGCCAGTAAGGTTATAGAAGGGAGTACCTGTAAGTGATAGGAAGGTGACCACCATCTCCACTGTCTTCTCACACTTAGTCAGCTGAGTGGTCCTGTGGGTTGGTGGTTCCTTCTGCCTGGTGACAATGCATTTGGTATTTTGCACACTCTAGTACACTGTTTTTGTCTGGTAAACATGTAGTAGTCGTAGGCTTAGGCCCTGATCCCTTATAGTGCTGGGGTGGGTACATTCGTCTGTGTGACTCTCCTAGGGCACTGAAAGCTGTCATAGAGTGGCTCTCGTCCTCAGTGACAGATGGCTGCACCCATTCTACAAGAGTTCCCTGTCTGTCCTGATTCACAGTAGTGTCTGGCATTCCAGTTGCTCCCTTTATTAGTAAGAGGAAACAGATTTAGTATGAGCAACAGTGGGTGCAGGTAATTTTCTGGGTGATTTAATTTTCTAGAACCCTTAGGATAGAAGGGTTTCCTGACTTCTTCATATGCCTTTGAACTGTCTAACAGCTTTTATGTTTATTGCGTGTCCCCAGCAACTCTGGACAGTAGGTAACACTTGCTCTTTATTGATGATTCTCCATCTCTGGGTGAGGAAACTAAAACCGAAGAAGTTAAATGACTTGTCTCGGAAACATAGCTCATTAGTGGCTGCTGGGATGAGGACCCATATCGTCAGCCTTTAGATCATGCTCCTCGCAAGCGTTTCTGTGTTTGGTAAACAGCACCTTTAGCCCACCTTTTGGTTAGGCATCCCACACTGTGCTGAATCAAGGGCACTTGCCAAATCATGTGCCAGGCACAGAAATTAAATCCATTGCAAAGGTGTTTTACAACCACCTGTGGGCAGTTTTGCAAAGGGAATGGCTGGTTCCTAGCTTTCCTTTCTGCGGGATTGCTTGAGCAGAGGCTGACGGGAACCTGTATGAACTGAGAATTGGAGTCCTTTCTTGCCCTGAGATGCTGCTGCTTCAGTGGACAGGCAAGTCTGAGCTATAAGAATCTGTTTTGCATGTGAGATCTGAGGTAGGACAGCACAGAGCTAGATAATTATAGAGTCCCCAGGAGCCTTCTGGGACACCATGCTGGTGGCACAGAACTGACGGGTTTCATCAGATTCTTTTGCCAAACTTCAGTCTTAGGCAATGTTCTTCCTTGTTCAGTATTTATGGAGCAAGACAGAAAGAAGAATGCTCTGCTAAATATCCTTGCAAATGAAGTGATACTCCACATGTGGAATAAAGACTTTAATTTTCATTTATTTTTTGCTGAACAATCATTCTGTTCAGAAAAATCCATTTGGTTACTGAAACTATAAACCTCAGAGGACCTGACAGATAATCTCCAAAAGATATAAGGAGATTTAACATCCCAGGTGCTTATTTTCTCCACAACCTACATCAGAAACAACAGTGTCAAAATTGTTAGCCTTATAATGGTTTAAATCTGTTTTATTCCCCATCTACATTATCGAAGCACAAGGTAGGTTAGTGCCTAGCAACATACATTGATGGCAAAAAAAGAGATGTTAGTTCATCTAACTTGATTACTGGAATAAATACAGACACCATCCATCTTGTCATTTGATTCATTCATTGAAAAATACATATTGAATGCCTGTTATGTAGATGTATAAGCTAAATTCAGGAATCAGCTTGGCCCAGTTATTTGACAGAATTAAGTAAATGTGGTTCACTTTTTATGGTTCAGCATCAAAACAGTCTGGTAAACCCAGAATTTTTTGGCTAAGTCACAGAGTATGATTGATATCTGGTTGAATTTTTCCCATATGAATAAACTGATTCATCTTGGGAAATTGATGGGTAGGTGGATAAAGCCAGATATAACATCTGGGGCAAAATATTCAGCAGTCCTCTTAAAGTTGAGATTGTGAAATCTATTTTGACAGCTGTGGAAACTGAGGTGCAGAGAGATTAAATAGCTTCCTTGTGGCCTTCAAAAATGAAGATGTCAGAGTCAGGATTTGAAGCTAGGCATTTTAAACCTGGGACTGGGTGGGTCTTTTCCCAAACTTCACCTCCTTCTGTGTCCTGCCTCTGACCCTGGCCAGCCTGTGGCCTGCGCACTGTTTCCTCCCTATCTTAGGTCTTAGGCTGGCCAGGTATCAGGATCTTAGGGCAAGGGCTTCACATAGACCCCTGGGACTGTCTTAGGCCTTGGGAGACCTCTGTTCTCTTCCTGCTTTTGTTCCTCCAAAGGATGGGGTTGTCGCCAGATGGACAGCAAATTCAGAGGGTATCAAGGCCCCTCCACCCAACCCTCAACTGTGAGTCTAAGACCTTGGGCCCAATTCCAAGGCAAGAGTTCTGGTTTTCTGAGCCAAGGAGTTCTGGGTCATTTCCGGAACGAAAGGTGGCAGGCAGTAAGACTGCTATGAATTTGTAAGAGAAGACAGAGTGAGTGAAGGAAAGTCCCAGGGTGGGCACCACTCAGGCTTTATTTCACTGAAGGAAAAGAAGTTGTGTTTTTCAAGAAAGGTGGGCCCCTTTTGGGTCTGATTTCAAGGTTCTGTGAAGGTTTGATAGTGTTGATTCTCTCAGGTTTTGTTCATTCCTTTATTATTCATTTAGCATCCATTTATTCATTCAGCTGATTCTTTAGAGCTTTCTCTAGGTACCAGGTTCTGTGTCAGGCTCTGGTAATACAGTGGAGAACAGGCAAGTACCTTGCTCTTAGGGAGCTTCCATTTTTGGTGGGAGACATACAGGGCAGCACCCAGATAAGTGACTACAGTGTGTGAGAATGCCGAGGCCCACGGAGGCAAGCTGAAAAGAAGTCTGTTTTCATAGACGGAGGTCAAGGAGGCCTCGGCCGAATGCCAGTGGACGAGAAGGAACCACATGTGGAAATGCTCCGTAGAAGAACCAGCAAGTGCAGAGGCCTGTGAGGATTGGGTCCAGACAGAGGGCCAGGGTTCCAAGATTACAGGTGGATGGGGCTGCAGAGAGAGGCAGTGCCCGATCAGGTGGGGCCTCCACAGCTCTGATTTTAACTGCAGAAGGTGACCACAGACAGTTAGAAGCGGAG